GTTTTTATTAGTGTCTAAAATTTTTCTCAAATAATGCTAAAACCAGTTTTATTACATTTTTATTTTACTGAGAAAGAYGAAGAAGATGTAGATGGTAAATATAGTAGTTTTATTATATTGCATTTCCATGTTAATTTGTTTAACACATTAAATGTTATTAATTTAGACATTAGCATAAGCCATAAGTACACAAAATATAGATACAATTTAATTGGATTATAGAAATACCCTATGACTTTTACAATTTTTAAATACAAATTGAATGCTTTGGTCAAGAACATAATTTGATAATATTTTATTTTATTTTTTGTCTTATTTGAAGCTACAAGCACCTGTATTTATCAAGGTCGGGAAACAGGAATGTCGTGTTCTTTGCTTTGGTAGTCTTATTTGGTGGGTTAAATAAATCACATTGGGCAGCAACTTATTATAAAATCCAACACACTAAAACGTGTTTTTGCACATTATTACAAATACTACTAATGAGACAAAAMTCCATTTTTCTTTCCTTTAAGATCGAGAGTATTCATGAATTTCTTTTTAATYTTAGATATCTTAACATATGGAAAATATAAATCAATTATATTGAATACATATCAACTGAAAGTCATTATTAATAGCACATTAGAGAAAATATAAATACAAATATAGGTTTAAWTTGATCTCAATAATAATATTCAAATTTCAATTAGGTAAAATCAACAATACTTTTCTATCAGAAATTAATGATACCTATTGACTGTAATATGCAACTATACAAGTTACTTATTTTTTTTTTTCAGTTGTTACTTGTTGTTATAAAATATATTTTTTTTTAGTTATGGAAAAAAAACAAACCCCTATGTTCTATTCATTATAAAACCTGTAGGAAATAAGGGCTTCTTTAGGTGTCAAATTTCAAACAATGGATTCATCATTGCAAAATAAAAGTACAATTATATAGGGGTACTATGCATTGAATTTGTATGTTTCTGGTACCACCCAGAAGCCAGCCAGTCTATATTATTTTTCCTGATAATATTGAACATAATTATATAAGCTGTGGCATGGCCAATATAAAATACTGAATAGTAAACAAATTACTGTTCAATCAAGTTTTACTTTTTAAATTTTAGATTTTGTGAGAAGCAAAGAATGTATATTGGTTTAGATGTGTATATTTTTTATGCCAACACTAGCTTGAGAAGCAGTAAAATGTATCCTTTATACTTTCTAGTACCTAGTTAATTGGATCAAGTTAAATTAAAAGGAAAAAAAGTAAAAAATKTCCAGTACTTTTRGAGGAAATTTTTTTTAAATATTTTTTTACATGGTTTCAACTTTAAAGTTGTACAAGCGGAGAGTGAAGTGGAGCAATAGGCAGTTACCTCTCAAAATGTTAGTCTACTAGTAACTACTCTGCTCATCTAAACTTTAAATAATTATAAGTTATAACTCATAAACTACTCGTTGTAAATTCAATTTTATGTATGGAAATATTTCAGGTAATAAAAAAGGTCGGTTGTAATCTCGGCCCGATAATATTTACCGATAAATTTCATGCGCATTTTAATTCAAGTTTCAATTCCACTAACCCCAATATAATATATTCCGTCATTGCGAAATTCAGAGAAATACAAACAGAAACGTACATTAAAATCGATAGCCTAGATGCACCATTTCAATTTCAGAATACAAAAACTAAAAAAAAAGAGAACTCTTAGAAAGAACACTTACGAAATATAAAAATAAGGAAATATCAGTAAGTGAATACGTTAAACACATAGCTTTTAAATTAAAAAAATTGATTTATACATTATATTTTTACACTTTTTACACTTACAAATTTACATAAATACATTTTACAGTTATATAACGATTTTYATACTATGAATAATAATACGAAAATTAAAAAACTTTTGAAGGATAATGAGAATCGCCTTCTCGTGGTGTCATCTGGGTAATGCGCTAAATGGTTCTTAAAAATATTATAAGAAGATTATATAAAAACATTTTTATCCGGGCCAAGTTTACACCTAAATAATTTTTACCTGTAAAAATCCCGGTCCGAGTTTACACCTAAATAATTTTTACTAGAAAAAAACACGGGCTGAGTTTACAATAGACCTTTTAAACATATTTTTTCCTCGAGCCGAGTTTACAATCGCCCGTCGTGAGAGTTGGCGAAGAGAGCCGCGTTAAAGCACCGGARTCCGGAAACCAACATTAATGTAGGTTTAGTATAATTAATATGAATATTATTTATAATCATTATGGAAACGATAGCCATCGCGAGACCATTTAGTTTTAATTCTAATGCTATAGAAAGTCACTATTAATATCACCCATATTGTTACAATTTTTTCATAATAATTTAGAAGCCGTCAAAATATTGTGAACTCACAAAGGAGCCGTGAGATGAAAAGTTTGAATAGCTATATACCTACTAATAGCCATATTATACACAGTTATTGAGTACTGACACTGAAAAAATGCTGGTGTAGAGGTTTTGACTGAAATTTTGTAGTGTATTGTAATGTACAATATACCGAGTATACAAATTACAGATCCAGGAATAATAATAATAATAATAATAATTTAATGCAATGTCAACATGTTTATGTTATTTGTATCTGTGTTTGTATTGATTGGCCCGATAAATAACCAAGGAAAATATTAAATACCCCTATAATAAAAATAGTGTTTATGGCTGCCTACTTAATAATAAATTTATATTACAATATTAAAAATATATAAAACAGTAAATTTTTCAATCACGGTAATTATATCTATTATAATATTAATTTAAAATTTTAATAATAAGTGATATGAAAAATAATAATATAATATTTACATTATAATTTTGCAAGATGTAATATGGGATTAGGTATCTTTCCATGGTAATTTTTTCACTGGGTTATTTCCGGGGACCAAATTTCTGTGATTATTTTTCCGCGGTACCGTTTGTACACATTTTATAAATAGGTGTAAATACGATACAAGCAATATTCAAAGTATCCATGACTGTAGACATCCAATATAAACACGGTGTTTGTAACTGATAAAAACATGTACAGAAATAAGTTAAAATAATAATAATATTCTAAGAAGATATTTATGTGTCTGGTTTGGTAAGTAAAATGTGCAGAACTGCAGAGTGGAAACAACTGAAACAAGGACATGCAAGATGAAGCGGACGTAGAAAAGACATGTTGGTTTGCATACTGTAACATATGCATATATAGATGTATAAATGTATAATGTGAATATATATAAAACATACCTACATAAACAAAATAAACCATTAAAAAAAATTGCATTTTGGATAACTAATTCTTTGTATTTCACCTACGTGGCTACGTCTATTTAATATTAAACACCACAATAATACAATATACCTAATGTCCTACTAGTTAATCATAAAATATAAAAGTTGAGCATATTTTTATCTTAAAAACTAAGAATCAATTAATGGTTGTTTTTCGCTAGACCTCTACGCATTTACCAATCATGCAAAAAACTGACGCTCATATGATTATCAACCATTCAATGAAATTGTAAGGTGCGTTATTACAAGGAAACCAGCTACATTTACTCCAGAATGTTAAATCAAATAGAACATTCTAAAACAAATTCCGTATAMAATTATTTCTGAAATAATTTTTTTGTCAATAATGTTCAATYAAATGAATGAATCAAAATAAAAACAACTTATACAAGAGTAATGTTAAATGTATTAGTTCTGAAGGTCCAATAAGAGAATGCGGTGTATGTTTTGTCTTTGGATGAACGCACCTGAACTGGTGTGGAACAAAACCATCCACAAGATACAACAACCGACCTGGAATGCTGAATCTTCCCCAACCCGGACCTGCTGCTACTACTACTGTTGTAGATGCTGCTAGTAGGTTTGTTTATTAAATTTATTATTCCTTCAAAACCTACATTGTTTGAAGAAGTATTTTCTATGGATAAAATATCAATAATAACTATTAATAAAAGTAAACAAATGCAAACACACATTCTTTCTGTGTGCATTTTAGTMATTTTACATTTATTAACGAATAAAGATTGTTTAACTGTAATGGTACCTATTTAAAATTAATATACAAGATTCACCTTTGGTGTGACGTCTTCTTAACTGTTAAAACGTTTATTTTTTATTTTATAGAAAAAAAAACGAAATAATTAAATTCATCATCATGTTTAGTAGTAAATAATTAGATAAGATTTAATTAAAAATACAAATAAATAATGTCAAAAACTCATATAGTAATAAACTAATGTTTTACAAGCGTGGTTTGTTAAATAAAATAAAAATTAATTAAGATAATAATTTTATATACAGCGATGTAGTATTATTTCCATACATTTGGCGCAAAAATAAAAATAAAAACAACAAATCAATTAATTGGTTATCATTGAAAAGTCCAACAAATACTAATTACATGGTATCCGAGGCTTTAGGTAATATCACAGTAAGTAGTTGCTGCAATGAAAAAAATTGGAACGAGTAAAGCACAAAAAATTCTGCTTTAATTGTTTAAAAAAAAAACAATCGGTATACTTAAAAGGAAACCAGTCCGTCTTTCGATAATATAGCTAACGAAAAATGTTTTTCTTTTACTTATATTATATGATATCTACCAATGCGAATTTCCTAAGCTTGTTATACAAATTCGATGCCTCTATAAAATATTATCGAACCGGTTATATAATCGTACAATTTACTTATAGACGTGTATAATATGTTTTTTTGTACATTAACTCAGTTGGCAAATTATACACTTTGAATACGGTAAAAAGGAGCASTAGGAATCTGATCATATAAGCAAGAAACAACGATCAATCAAGTCTGATGGGTTACAATTATAGGCAGAAGGTGATTTATTTATAATATTTTATAGATGATTACATAAACGTTAAGGTGTTTTTTAACGTTTCGTTGAAGTACTAAATACCTACCAACTAAATGACTAATATAGGGGATATTCTTTATATCACGTATTCGATACTCAAGTATCCAATTCGTTATTGATATCACTCATCTGTTTWAACACTTGATGTTTCTTGATTTGAGAATGATTTTTTTTACTCATTGATGAAACACAAAACGAGTTTTTAGTTTACAAAAATATTTTAATCGAAACAAGAACGGCCTGGGCCCAAGAATTTTTTTTAATTATGTTGAGTTTTCATTTATTCACATGTTTACAGAGATTTAGAAATACATGACGAGCACTTTTTAACAAAGATAGAATTAAATATTGTGCACATCTAGTTACATTACAGTTTTATAAATAACAATTCTATGGACCCGAACAAGTCAGTCATTAATAGAATCTAACAAACACGGCGTAGCGGTGTTGAAAAAAAAAACATAATAGTTTATCGTTTATGTTGGTTATTTTTCTTCTAACAACAAACCCTTTGATAATCTCGAATTGAATAGGTTTCATTTCTTTGGAACTCAAACAAAGAACATATCGTTATTCGTTATGGAGAAAAATTCGGTTGAACAGTGTGTACCTATATGTTGCTCGTACGGACAAGGGAGAGAAAAAAGTGATTAGTCGATAATATAATAAGTGTAACATTTTGCACCGAAATGTGATTATACGGTGTTATTAAAGGTAGTAGGCGTATAACCTAAGGGCTTGTACGGCTGTACCTACCGTACGTTACGAGAAACAAGTAGGTACTAATAACATCTGACAAACCAGACACAATCACCATGTAATTTACACATAAGGGTACAAAACAACTATATGCTCGATGAGTATAACGCTATTGTGTGCCATTTTATATTTTTTTCAAATACATTACATAGTTTAGTGGGTCAAAAGCAAAATATTATTGAAATGTCGGAATTTATGTGGCATAGGGACACAATAACGATTTGTAGGTGCATTTTCTTTTCATTTTATTCATTCTTTGTTATGTGAAAATAATTTTGGATCAACAATGAGCGCTACTGGAATGTTTGGGCCTTCTGTACCGTTTACCTGTCATCTTATATGTCCTTTTAACTACACAAATATTATCTCAATACAGATTTATTTTCGTATTACTCTTTCCGTYTGATACCAATGTAGTTCGTGATGATACAAAGAACAATATAATAGTGGGTTCACTATGCATTATGTCTGAGGTACACGCACATAAATCTGTTCGCCCACATATAAAACGGTCGGTGTTACCTACGATTTCGTTCGTAGTATTTCAATTTTAACAACAYAACACAACATTTAAAATGATAAAATAATGTTAAGTATATGTTTAAAAGTTAAAATTGTATAATATAATGCTAACATAATTATATTATAAACATCCAATAGAATAATAAAATAAAATTTAATGCACTATTACGTACTGTGTGTTTTACATAAATATTATAGTCACGTATTATAAAGTTTAATTTTATATAATTATTTATTGTAATTATAAGTACGACACAAGACACAACAATATGTAAAATATAATTGAAGATAATCAAAATACCATTATAAACCAATTAAAGAAATTTATTTTCCTTTAATAAAAATAGAAATCAATTATGAAATATAAGCACTTCTAGGAAATGCGTCAAAATTTTTTTTGTCTCAAATTGCTTGGACAATATGTATGACTTATAACGTATACAGGATGAACAAGCGAAGATATGATGGGAGATATAAGCGACAGGTCTGTGAATCATGATTAAACACAGCTGTCCGATGTTTTAATGCTTATTGTGGCTGCTAGGCACACAACAATGGACCCAATATTTTAATAATATAACACAATAGCCGTTCCCACACAACATATAAGGATGAAAAAACACAGTTTTGGATAGCTTGAATCACTTTGTAATTTAAAAAAAAACCACTGATTATATAGCATAGAAATACTTAATACCTCGAGGTACATAATTAACATGATTATAAAATCGGTTTTGTAACTATAACAACACCGTTAAACGCGTATGTTTAAAGCTACACGAATAACTCAATAATATGCAATACAATTTGTTAACAGTAAATTTATATAAATCAAACTTAAATTATCTACACAAAATAATTTTTATTATTCCTAAAAATAATGAAATCTATAATAATGATTGCATTTGATAAGTATCTAGTGGCTAGTTATAGTGTCTACTCTATTTATATGACCTCATAAAAATATATTCAACGATCTAAGAATTACTACCTAAGATAAATAAATACATTATACTATTAGAGGCATTTTTATGTCTATATAAAATATATTTCTTTTTCTATAYGAAATTTGTAAATTATTTTATAAACATTAAAAGGATTGTAACAGGTACTATTTCTGTAATACCCATAATGTTAACCACAAAATATTTTAAAGTAATTATTATGTTTGGAGTTATGGTTTTTGAGTAGGTATAATTCTAAACAGTTCCCTAAAAATATTATGAATACTCATTAAATATTTTTAAAAAACTTGTGGGCATTAATATTAAAAACAGGATACATAGTCTGGGTAGTGGGTGTTGGACACTTGCCTCAGTCATCTCACCTGGATCACATCATTTACATCACAGTGTAATATTGTATTATTATGAAAAATCAATGTATAAATACATACAAAAAACTATTTACAACGGGTCTTGTTCTACTCAGAAATAAATAATAATAAATACTTTCTTTAYAAACAAGTATGTTTCTTCTGTTCTTTTAATTAATTTCAACCAATTTGGGAAATTTGAAGAATTAATTATATAAAGTGTATGTTTTGTATTTAACTACCAATATCTAGATAAAAAAATTATGTTAACTTGTTTTTAACTGAATAAATGATCCAAACCAAGTCTTGGAAAAAATTGCATTGTAATATAAAACTTGGTGTAAAATACGAGAAAACACTTCCCATGCTTAAAATCTCGCTTAAAATAGTCAACATACTAAAACCTACTATAAACTTGACTAAAATTGACTTTTGTAATTAATAAATTCCATTGATATTTTTAAAATCAAAGCAAAAACAATAGGTAACTATAACTATCTACATGAGATGAACTTAGGGGAAAATAATGAGAAATTCAATGAGAAAATAATTCATAAAATTAGTAGTATTTATCATTTGAAAGTAATGTTAAGAATTTTATTTGTCAATAACAGGTACCTAAAACCTAATCAAAGGAAAATTGTAATTAATATTACATTTAATTTAAATCTTAGTTAACCAATTTTGAACGAACATAAATACATAATCATTAATCAGTAGTAAAAAGTATATTAAAATGTTTTGAATACTTACCTGTTACATAATTATTATAATTTTAGCTTATACCTCAAAAATTAGATTTTATTATCTCTAATAACAGCACACAACATTTTTGAGCTAAGAACAAATAAATAATTAAATATTCAGAAACGAGCAATTATTTATAAATAAGATTTCTTTTATAGGTAATTAAAATTTTGTTTTTGTTTATCTATTAATAAAATATGCATTAATATAATAATATTATGTAAAGGTTCTTTAAACAAACATGATTAAATAAATTTGGTAAATATAAGCAAAAATGCATACTGCGTATATTTCTGAATTTGAATTTTAAGTATGTTTCTATTATGACTTTATGCATATTGAACAAATGTACATTGTACGATCAGATTTTAAATAATATGCATCTTACAAAAAAATATACAAATGTATTAAGTTATAATTAGGGCTCGGAAGTTGATGACCTTAAAATAATAAAAAATGCCCTAAAAAAATATGTTAAAATGACATAAAAATGGCAAAAAATGTCCTAAAAAAATGACCTAAAAATTACAAATATTAATATTATACATTTTTTTTAAATATTTTACTCTATTTTACTATATAATTCAAAATATGACATAAAAATGACAAAAATGTCCTTAAAATAGGAAGATAAAAAAATAAAAAATATTTGTTTTATAAATTTATCAAAGCTTACAAATTATTTAAAAATTAAAATCATTGCATTCCACAATTAGAGCGTATTTTAAGTTATCGAAAGTAATTGAACGACGATTATCTGTTAATAAATATTTATAATTGGAAAAAAATTTCTCTCTACGTCTACTGAAGTGATTGGGGCAAATCTGAAATGTACCAAATCATCAGTTAAAATGACTAAAAATGTGGGAAAATGACTTAAAAAGTAATAAACACCAAAAAATGCAAAAAAATGCAAAATAAAAATTAGTTATTCAGATTCACATGCTTATGAAACAGATTTGTAGCCAGGAGAGTATCGTCTAAAAAGTTCCAAAAAAAAAATGCAAAATGCATCAACTTCCGAGCCCTAGTTATAATCTTTGCACATAAACAATATTTAATCACACAACTTGTATCAAAATTATAAAAGGATATTCTTTAATAATATTACCTAAATAATGAATAAAGTGAATTTCAAACAATACTTTTACAATATTCTTAGGTAGGTACTAGTCTAGAACTTGTTAATATAATAAATTAACACATTTACACATAGGCATGTCATATGTATACAGGTAATACTATAAACAATAACAAACCTAATAAAATAATAATAAATATAGATTATAGATACCTTGGTACTGCTTAAATGGATTATAATCTCTTAAAACTATTAAGTATTAATTATTTATAAACAGGCTTTTATATTAGTCTAGATATAAGTGATACCTACTAGTTATTTTTCACAAGGTATAATATCTAAACTCAGAAATTGAAGTTTAAGTCCAATTATACTACTAGTATAATAGGTACTAGGTAAGAAAGTAAAAAAAGTAATGATTACATATTATAACATATCATATTAGAAATATTTGTTTGTTTTGTTTGACCAAGTTATCCAGGTTTAATATTTATAAAATATAAATAGATAGTTAAAATAGAAACATTAAGATTAATTTTAATAGGTTAAAATCTACAGTTAAGYAACTTACTTAATTCTGTAAACAACCAGTGCTTGAAAAGAGCAGGTTCAAAGGAACATAGTATTTGAATTTTGTTTATTTTTTATAGGAATGTGAATAATTTTATTTATTCTTTCTTTCTCATAAAAGAAATTTAATTACTTAAATATRATAAAATACAATAATGTCGGTCAGTCAATGAGGACATAACAATTTTTAAAAACAAAACAATTGCCGACCAAATTAAGCAATATAAAACTAAAAACTATAATAATATAGTTTTAAAATAATTGAGCAACAAAAACAAATTTATTTAGGAACAAGAATGATAACCGATTTAGTTCCTTGTTAACAAGATGAACACRAATTAATTCCTTTTTTAACAAAACATTCCAAGCGCTGTAGACAACATAATAAATAATTTCAATAATACAAACTTGATAGGTTTTAAATACAAAGTTACCATTAAATTCAATAATTGAATACCTATATAAACAAAATGTAACTAGGAAGATATGCAAAAGAATAATTGTTTAAAGTTTAACTTATATGTAATGGGAACATAAATTATACAAAATATTTTAATCTTAATTAAAAAGTTTTAATAACTCATGAAAAGTATTATTTACCTAATAAAATTAAATATATTTATCAATTGAAATAAGGTAGGTAGATACTCACCGAAATCAAATGTTAGATAACTTCTGACAKGGGCATTAAATATTGATGTTTTTCTGAAATATATTAATATTAAATAATATACTTTTTATACTTCACAGCAACGAAAAACATTAAAAATGTCCGATTTAAATACTTAAAAATCATGTAGGTATTCAATAATTATAATTGAACATAATTGTATACAGTAACGGAATACTAAAGTTGAACGCACTAACAACCTCTGTAGCCTGTTTCACCTAGACAGCAGCCACCAAGAACGAAAACAAGTGAACTGATTCACCTGCTAAAAAATTGAAACGCCGACAAACAAAACAGGTTCAGGTATCTGACGCATGCGCGTTTATGTTAAAAACTAGGATTGTTAACAGTGTTGTCAGTATTAATACTCGTAATTATTGTACAATTACAACATAGAATTTTGATGATTCAATTTATCATACCGTCGTGGTACAGTAAGTTATCCCAATCATGATAAGAACTATGTCATAACATAGTACCAACCTTGAAAATAAAAATCCCAAAGTATTCTATTTATTAGAAATAACAGTACATAACTACACAACGAACACAAGTCACAAATTTACAACTTTAAATTATAAGAATAGGTTTGCTAGACTCACCTTAGGTTAGGATATCAAATGAATCACTTTTTAAATTTATTATTATATAGWCTTAGTCAATGATTCTGATCATAATGGTTTAAACTAGAATCAATGGTGTAGAAAAATTGTGGCAGAGGAGGCTATTGACCCCTCAGATATAATCCAGGGGAGGTAAAAGTATAATTTATCCCCTATGGCCTTACTACATTTAAATTAAAGGGTTTACAATCGTAAATTACGTTTAGTTTAGACGTTTACATATTCTAAATTGGTCTCATTTTMATAAATGTATATGAATGTGCGTAATAATAGATAGGTATTACGTTTTGCMCGCCYCYCTCCGCCACTCTTGAAAAATAGTTCCTGCGAAACTGACTAGGATAATATTTTTTTAAGAATATATAACATTATGTTCTTGTATGAATTCTTAAAATCAGGACCATCCAATACTAATGGAGGGAGGGGTCAGCGAGTCACGTCCACATAAAGCACACACTGTATGTCTGTATGGGGCTCCCGACAAAAAATTCTAAATTCTAAATTTTGTCTATAGCCTTAACAGAAATGGCGGGTAAGTTAGTAATKCTCTTATTTACATGCTGTACAGTTGTAGGTAAGTTTACAAGTGGGTCACTATATAATCATGGTTGGTGTTAAATTTGAATGCATGCCTATGTCCAATAGGGATATAAATGATATAATAGCATAATAATGTTTCAACCGTCGTAAATACGCAATCTGCAGTATTCATAGTAGTATAGTACCTACTCTGGATTCCTATGAATCCCATTTCTTCGCCATTATCATTCTGCTCWAAATAGACGATACCTTTTTYGATAGCATAATATTAATAACATATTATTATTCATTATCGATAAAGTTAGCCAATCAGAAACTTTAATGTATTGTATCAAAATATTTTTGATTTACAAAAAAAAATCGTACTATCMKYCAAGGGCCCACTATTGCTTGATATCCGCTGTGAGCCCTTGGCCATGCCCCCCTCCCTTAATCTGGACTTGATAGCATTTAAGAATATACTTAGTTTTAAACTTTGAATATTTATTCAGGAAACTAAAACTAAAGAGAAAGGAGTTACTTTTTTTTTATTATTAGCTAGGACTGCTAGGAGTCAACTTTATACTTTCGAAAATATTTAGTAAATTTCAACAAAAGTCTCGTAGTTTAATAATAAAAAAAAACGTACTTCACTGATAAGTGATAATCATAAATACAATGTTGAATATTATCAGTCAGGCACTCAGGCGTACTGCGAAAGCTAAGAACGAATAGTGAATCCCAAACTCCAAGGGCTATTTTGTCAATTGACAATATTGGCYGAGWAGAAAATATAAACATTTTAAATAGACATAACCCAAAGAAACGGTAGCATAAATACAAATACTTTAACTGGTTTATTACTTAATAATTTTACTTTTTACCTTATAAATCAAATGAACCGATTTTTATCAAAAAAATCATTAAATTACTCCTTTAATTTATTTAAAAAATCTATATTATAACAAAAAAATCATGTTTCATGTACAATGTGTGTCTTTATAGTTAAATCAACACTAATATCATTCTTTTATTTCAAAATATATAAAACTATAAATAAAACAACGAGATTAAATAACTAAATAATAAACTAACAGTCTTAAAGAAACTTTTAAGAATAAAAAACATTAGGATTTTTGAGAGAAGTATTAAAAATATTATAAATAAATTTAAATAGATCTTTAAATAGAATTAAATAAATGACCTTGATATAATAATCATATATGATTTATACAAACACAAAATAATAATAAATATATGAAGAGTRTGCAATTTTGTAAGTAGTAGTCATTTAAATCATACAATTAATGTTATTTTTATAAAATCTACTGAGTAAATTATATTTAATTATCCATAATTCACTTAAATTGTGCAATGGTGTAAAATTAGTTTTCTAAATACAATCACTTAAAATTTAAATCATTGTAATAGTTGTTAGATTTTGTATCACCACATTGGATATGAATAATAAGGTGATCTAATTGAAAAATACATATGTTCTTATTCACATAAAATTAAAAAATGTCATCTTTTTAAGTGTATCAGATATTCAGATAATTATGATAAATAAAATACTTGCATTTAATAATATTGTATTGTATAATATGTCGAACAAACTAAAATAAAACCAACAGTTTTAAATAATAATTTAGATTTGATAAATGTTTTTCTAAAGAATAGTCAATCATGTTCAATACCAATAAAGAATTATATTTTGATGATAATTTTAATGTTAATTTTAATGACTTTCATGGATTGTGCATCCAAAAAAATTAAACAACTTTTAATGTTTCCTACATTTTTTTTTTTAAGAAATATTGTATATTATGTTAACTTTTATGTTTTATTATACTAGGGACAATTATGAATGGAAAATATTATATTATCTGCAGTCGTTGCAACAGCTTTTTGTTTGCTTGGTGTCATCTTCCGTTTTTTTTTATTTTTTTTTAATATTCCACTTTTTTTAATTCCTTTATGAAGTGGGACTGATTTGCTTTTTGATGCAACAGCAATAGTCATAATGGGTTGCAATAATTTGGAAGTTGTYGGATTCATTAGATCATATGATATTGAAGATTTCTTTACCTGGAATAAATTTATAGTAACTTAAAATATCTTTCAAAACTAAATTTAAAATAAAAAATCGATCTAATATTTAATAGCAAGTTGTTTTTTAGTTAATTTGTCATCAGTTAACACTAAATAATTAAATTATGTAAATTACAATTGTTTTATATGATAAAAATAATAGCTTATCATACAGATATTTTGATTTAAAAGACAAAATTACTACAAAGCAAAGCTAAATATTTGTAAGCGAGTATACGTCATAAATATATATCACCAAGAGCCACAATGAAAAACTATATATATAGAATTGTATATTCTTACTTATAGGCTAATTTCCATTATTTATACACAAACGTTGGAAATAGTTGAGAACCTCTTTCAACCTAAAGAGCCATTAAGTTCTCTTTTTCAAGTTTAAAAACTAAAAAAAAAAGCTTGGAATGGATGCTTTTCTAAGAGCATATAAAAAGAATAACATTTTAAATTACAAAAAAATACTAAATTTACTTGTTTTGAAGTAATTGGTGTATCAACGTTTATGTTGCTGGTAGATTTAGATCCTAATCGTCGATTACGGCTACAATCGTTAATAATATTTGAACGTAACAGCTCCCTTAATCCTGCTAATGATTTAAATTCACTGCTATCTAACCGACTGTTTGGATTTAAATTTGATAAATCCAAAATCGAAATTGCCAATGATTTTCCAACCTATAATTATAAGAGTAATAAAAATATTTTTGACAAAAAGCTATTAGGTACTCTGTTCAAAGTTTTTAACCTGCTCAAAAACGGTTGGTGTAAATTTTGGAGGAATAACGCTCTGGATAGGTCTTCTCTCAGAAACAAAATGTACTTTAGGAGGAATATAGTTAACAAATCTGCCAGTATTGTAGTTACACTCTAATGTGTAACTACGTATGAGACCTGTATATTTAAGAACAGCTACTCGACCACTTCCTTCTTTACTTAAACCAAATTTCTTATCTCTGAAAATTTAAAACTTAATTACTACCTACAATTTCATAATTATTATACAAATAAAACAAAATTATATTTGTTTATAATCTAATAAATTGTCTATACTGCAGTAACTTAATAGAATAGGGCGGGGGGTCATTTATAATTAGTTAAATATTTATCTCATAATGATTTTATATTTTTRAATTCAATTTTAAACATCTTTTACAACCGTTTACTCCATTAATAATTTTTTGTTTTATTTTATTCTTATATTTTTGTTAAGTATTGGAAGCTTTTACCTATCTTCTTCTCAATTCAATGTCCCRTGAAAAATCAAGATAACACTCGGAAAAAAATTATCAACTGACATAACCATTATAATTTGCCAAAATACAAAATAATAAAAGTTAAATTTAATACGAAAACAGTTAAAAATCTATTTAATTTTTTTAGTGTCTATTTATAAAAAAAAAATTTGAGAGTTATGCCCATATTTTATCAATAATTTAAATTTTTTTAAAACTACTTCGAATTATAGTGATTTTATTCAATTTATGTGCAATCCCAACTACTGGTGTAACACAAATTTATGATTATTTTGTATACATTAATACATATAATATATTAATTTTTTTATGTTATTAACTGTAGTATAATAATTTAATTTCTTACTTAGAATACATATTATGCTTGCTGAAATTGCAAGAAGTGTAATGAAAGTTTTGATTGTTTATAGTCATAAGAGTGGGATAAACCATACATTCAATGTTATCAACTATATTTTCAAAATTATTTCCATACATAAATATCCCTAGTTCAAAATATAAAAATTAAACATAATGTACATTATTTAAAAAAAAAAAAATTAAGCAACTTTAAATGTTGTTAACCTTTTTTGGATGCATGGCCATGAAAATCAACATATAAATATAATCCTGATTCAAGGCCTTTATTTGTTAGGCCAGCTGTACACAATTGACTCTTCTTTAATAAAACATTTGATGAACCAACATCATTATTTAAAAAGGTTGGTTTTATTTTAGTATTTAATTCATCATCATTATTGGATGAACTACAAGAAATTGATGTTGAATCTTCTTCGATTAACTCATCTCGTAATTCATATCCAAGGTGATGATACAAGATCAATGATCTATAAAATATATCACAGATTAAATTGAATGAACAAAATTTTAAAATACAAAAATAGACAAGTTAAAACACCTGGCAGCATAAACAGATGGATGAAGTTTTAAAGATGGTTTTAGATAAAACCGGTTGAGATTACAACCTCTAGTATCTGTACGGTAAAATCCTCTAGCTACTCCATCTGGATTTAGCATAGGAATAAGTTTGAAAACATAATTTTGACGCAGTATATCAGCTTGTTCATCATTACTAAGTAAATATTTTATCACCCCATTCATCACAAAACTAGAAGGTGTTTCACCTGGATGTACTCTAGCACTCATAACTATGACCTATAAATTAAGTTGTAATACAAATAGTGATTATTTAAAAATTAAAATCATGAAGTTAATTTTTATTAATATAAATTTATAAGTTTATAACCATCAACATTTAAGGAATACTATTACTTATCCTATGATGACCAATATTTTAATTTTATCAAATTGGCAGATAGTAAATGGATAAATTATAACGTTCAAATGTTATTATATTTTGATTAAATTAGTATAAATGTGTTTTTATATTATCTGTATACCTTTTTATTTTTGAAAACATGTGACCTAGGTTTTTCATCTGGAAATAACCCAAATAAACGGCATTCTCTTTCTTCTGAAACACCTTTAAAGGAACTAATAGTTAATAAATCCACAGAACGATTTTCTAAGGACTTTACTATAGTTTCTCGATAAAAATAAACATCCTTCTCGTTGTTTTCTAAATAATATTTAAAAATAATTCTATTAAATACACACACATATGGATGCAATAAAAGAATTATTATTAGGAAAACCAAATACCTCTTAAATCTGATGGTAATGGAAATTGTTTTTCATAAAAACTTAAGCTGTTACATAACTCGGTGTAAGTGTAAGGGTAAGTAAAAGCATAATATGTTGTGGCTTCAATATTTTTCAAAGAACGATGACTAAAACTCAACACGAATTCTTGATTACTGTTTATCTAAAAAAAACTCATCAAACTCAAGTTGGGTCCATTCACCATTTATAATTTAAGTCATACACACTACACCTTGTAGTGTAGTTCATATGTCATGGTCCACCATTGAATACATTAAATGTTTGCAAGTATTGATTAAATACCTGATAAGTTGGTATTTCTTTTATTCTTGACCAGGATGCTTTACAAAATTTTTCATTTGATTTATCTGATTTTCCTAAATCAACTTTAAATACGGGAGTCATGCCTTGACTATACATTTTACTTTGATTATTTGAACTCACTATGTTTAATCTTACGTGCATACCAGGAATGCCTCCTTTAAAATAGTGATTCAATTAAAAATCTTTTCATTATTATTATACGARAATACACTTTTACCTTTTAAGGCAAAGTAGAACCATGATTTGTAGTTGCATTCAAACTCAGTGCCACCACAGTCTGGGTTCGTCCATAAATGAAATTCCAAATCTTCATCTACAATATTACACACATAACATAATCTTAACATAGGTACACTCAAAAAACAAATAATTTAATAATTGTTATCGCACCAACGCCAGGAATCTGTTTGCTGACATATTTCACACGAGCAAGATTAGCAGACTCAAAATTGCTCAAAATTGTGTACGAGTTATGGGTAAACACACCCGGCTGTACTTCGGGCACAATGTCTGAGGTAATGTTCATCTTACTCTTTAAATAATTATGTTATGCTTCTTCATGGAGTCAATGAGGTTAATCTTTGAAATTTACCTATTTTTGTGGAAACTTACWACAGCTGTATACAAAAACAGTTAAATACGTATCTGACTATGCTCTATACGTCTTAAGACAACATTTATTTAAGGTGTTGATTAGTTCTATTTCAATATCGATCAAATTTCACAATTTTCGTCCAACATAATCCGAAATAATTAATATCAAATGTGGATCCAAATCACGATTCACGAGAGCTTAAATGTGAAACTGAGTAGACATACAAATATACAACTAGTAATATTAATAAGATAATAATATTAAACTATTACACAATAAACATAATTTCTTAGGTATCATTAGAAACATGTAAAATAAATAAATAACTGATGAAGTGATGAGTAATAGGTAAAGAGAAAAATTATATAATGTTCAAGGTGCTATATAATACCATTACATTGAGGTGGATCCAACTTGATTATAAAGTTAAGCAGCTGATTTTTAATCGGCTATTCTTTCAATGGATTCGGCCGTTCTTTCCATGACCTTATCATGTAGTAATTTATGTTGATTATTCACTTATTCAGTTATTGTTTTTGTTTTTCATCAATTGTATGGGCATTGGGCATTTTGATTTTGTTATTTACTATTTAGTTATATTTTTACATACACCCATAATAGGTTCTTCGTATCTACTATCTATACACATTTCTATTGTGTTGTATATAGGTAATAGGTATATTTATACTTATTTTTAATACCTATATGGTTATATTAAAGAGTTGTTGAATAAACCGAATCTAAGGAATATAATATCTGTTTTAAATTTCGTTTTTTGACAATTCTAAACTGTTTACGTTGTGTTAAACTTATACTTCCGTATTTTATTTTATTTTATAACAATGGTTAATTCAAATGCATTATTTTTATTATTTCATATAGCTTTTATTTCCACCATAAAATCTGGTAAATATTATATTGATATTTTAAGGTGTGGTTTTAGACACAACATAAACAATTTTTTATTTATGTTATTCAGCTGCAAGTATATCATGTTACCAATGCAACAGTACTGACATCAATGATCAATTTCGTTGCACCGAGTTCATGGATACATACGGCCTAGACCCCCAACCCTGTACAAGTGTTTACAATGCTGCTTATTGTGTGAAATTGATAGGCCGCTATGAAGGTTAGTTGGTTAGAAAGTTAAAGGTTACAGTAGGTTAGGTAGGTAGTTAGAAACCTACCTTTGTTATTATAATTTTTGGAGATTTACAAAAGTATTCAATATTTATTTTTATTTTTATTTATTATAGGAGGACTCGGAGTTACTCGTTACTGTTCATCTCATAATTTAGGAAATTACTGCAATTATGTTCAAAGGCCAGGTGATGTATTAGAATATCGAACATGTGTTTATACTTGTGATTCTGATGGCTGTAATGGTTCTAGCCAAGTTAAGTTATTTGCTTATTTGATATGTTTATCTTTTTTGCCRTGGTTTAGAAATCTTTTATCTTAGATATTAACATTGCCAAAATAATCAAGTATATAAGTAGGTTACTTATAGTATTTACATTTTAACTGTTATAATTATAATTCATTATTTTTTATATAAATTGATCAATGGGTATACTATGATGAGTTCAATAATTTAAATATATTGCCTTTTGATATTCACATAATTTCCTGACCTTGAAAGTAAGGGTATTTAATAATCAACATACATTTGTTATGATTGGATTTTATATTATTTTTATTTTATAGAGTTAATGCCWATTGGCTTTTTACAATATTATAAAAATAAGTCACATCCACTTAATAATAAGTATCAATATGTTTGTTAAATATTTTTTTAGTTTTGAAATCATATGGATAACATTTCATTAAACGAATAGATTTTTTTTTACGTAGTGTATATTTTTCCATGATACGGATGTCCATATTATGTAACTAATATGTTACTTTCAGCATACCAAAACTGCATATTATTAATCACTACAAATAATTATTTATTTTACATATTATTTTAATATTACCAAAACTAATTTATATTTATTTTTATGTAGAAAATAATATTCAATAT